TAACACATAACGTAGTATTTAACCGCGCTCTGCTTCGCGTGTTAAAGATTCTTTCGGATACAAAACAGCTTTTTCGCAGGCAGGCAACTTTTCAGATCGACAAGACAACACACATAACGTAGTATTTAACCGCGGTATGCTTTGCGTGTTAAAGATTCTCGGATACAAAATAGCTTTTTTGCAGTCAGGCAGCTTTTTAAATCGACAAGACAACACACATAACGTAGTATTTAATCGCACTATATATATTCACACATAATGTAGTATTTAACCGCACTATGCTTTGCGTGTTAAAGACTCTTTCTGATACAAAATAGCTTTTTCACAGTCGGGCAGCTTTTCAGATCGATAAGACAACACACATAACATAGTATTTTACCGCGCTATATATATTTACTTATTTACCAAACATCTTCCTCCTCTGACGGTGTAGTTTTCTAATAATTTTAGAGTGAAACTCGAAAGTGAACGTAAAAGTTTTCCGTTTTTTAATCCAATACTATTTTTGATTACATGAACAGGAGGGAGAAATTCATTAATTTACTCAACTGAAAAATATTAAATATCAATAAGATTTAACAACAACGGAAACATAATTTTATTTGATACATCTTGCAACATAAACAAGTACATACACTTATTACAAAAAACATTACGAAAACAAAACACTACATGTATCCTTCATAGTTGGGCACATTAGATGAACTTCCACCAGGAGCTGGATTAACACCGCCACCCAAACCAGCTGAAGGACATTTACGACGGTCGTGTCCTGTTTGCGAGCATATGCCACATTTACGCGCATAAACGGTATCACCAACATCCATTTGGTTCTGTATACCCGTTCTTTTTTGCACATGTAGAATAGTCCTTGTTACACACCATTTAAAATGGTTCCGGCGGCCAATAATGCTCAGCACCCACTGGCTGCAACTGCCCACTATATGTATTTAAGTAGCAACACTGTATTGCCTATCAACATAGTTGGTTGCCCCTAAACCTGTATGTTGAAAGCACTTCATGGCATGTGAGCACGGCATGTGGTATATGGTCCATTTCCCACATGAACACAACCTGCTGGCTTCATTTACGGTGTGTATATTATTCCCCCGGTGTTGATGGATAGCGGTGCGGACTTCAAAAATATTTCGCTCGTTGCAATACTGTAAAAATGAATGCCAATGTGCTCGCCTCCTGTATTTCTCAAATCTTTTCATTGGTATTGGCATAAACTCAACACGCCTCTCCATCAATTCCGATGCACCTCTATGCCTTTCAACAAACCTCTCCGCCATCTGTTTGAATGAAATCCGCACCATGGCAGTGACAGGCAATCCACGTGCAGACTTCAATAACCCGTTGAAAGACTCCGACACATTTGTAGTCAGGGTTCCCCATCGTCTGCCACCATCCGCATGCAATGTCCACTTGTGAAGCTCATGTCGCATCAACCAATGATAGGCTCTTTCGTCTAACTGCCGGATCGATTCCATGTGCCTCCTGAATTGCACTCCTGGTGATCAGTTGCAACCATCCACATTAAATCATGCAAGTCCTTGTTGGGATATTTCTTCTGGAAATTGGCCTTCAGGTGCCTCACACAATAACGGTGGTATGCATAGGGTTCCTGCCATTCAGGCAAATGCTCTACAGAACTTAATATACCACCATGTTGATCAAATATTAGACAAATACCTGAACGTTGTTTGACAACATGCTGCTTCAAGTGGTTCAAAAATAGCGTCCACGCCTCTTGGCTTTCATTGGCACATATGGCAAAAGCTAGTGGAAATATTTGTCCATTGGCATATACTGCAATGGCGATAAACAACTTAATATCATACTTTCCATAGACATGAGTTCCGTCTATGGAAATTATCGGACGGCAATGCACAAAACCATCAATTGCTGGTTTAAATGCCCAGAACACGTATCTGAATATATATTCCGATATTCCTGCACTCCGCTCAAGCTTCCATTCAACAACAGTCACGGGGTTAAAGTGTTTCAATGCGGCCATGTACCTGGGTAGAGATGCAAATGACTTATCCCAGTCACCATAAACAATTTCAAATGCACGTTTGCGCCCGAGATATGACTTTCTTTTGGTAATAGTACACCCATATTTCTGGTGGACAGATGTAATACACTCATTGATCTTGTACCTTATGGACGCTTCAATGTGTGGAATCGGTTGAAGAGAAATCAAGTCAATATCCAAGTTGAAGTGATTCCCATTAAATGTGTTCATTTCTCAATTGTGGGTGCCAATATATTTACCCACTTTCCACAACCCTGTTTCCTTCTTGCTCGCACGCAGCATCCAGTGACAACCCGTAAACCATCTACGGCAAACAACCTTGTATACATCCAGAATTGAATCCCATACCATCATCTCACGACACTCTCTTACGCTGTACATTTTTGTAGCCCTGGTTAGGTGAGCTTTATCAGGAAAAAGCATGCCCTTTGCCAGCACTGTTGGTCTAGACTCATCCCACATTGCTGTCTGAATTTCGTCAAGATCCCTTGTGAGGGCATCCACATCCGGCATACTTGGCAAATTATCAAGGTAGGGAATATGCCTTGAATGAAACGGCACGCGGGACTTGTACACTTTTGGTCTAACGGGGGGTGGAGCATGCTCCTTCGTCAGCTCAGGTTCGGCATTCTCTTCCTCCTCATCATCACCCTCATCGGGGAAGGGTGTGTCATCTCTAGACTCGTCGGCATTTTTGTTATAATCACTATTATCTTCCTGACTCTGCGCATCTACCAAATCCCGAGTAAATATGTCGTCTACGGGCAACTGAGGGAGGACAGGACCATCAAGTTGGTCGTTTTCACTACACAAACAACAAAATAATAAGCTACTTAAATTGATAAATACTTTACATATAGCTGTATCACTTCACTTAAAAGTCGTAATGTGTTGACATTCCATGATGGACATTATCCTGTTGGTGATGACTCCCGGATGGACCATCGTGATCCAACACACCAATACTACGTATATTCCAACTGGGCGTGGGTTCATAACTTGTAAAATTCATATCTAGACGGTACCCTCTGTGGAATATATGAGTGTCAATACAAATTCACTACAACAAAAACAAACATCGTAACACAAAGTAAAATTAAAGTTTACCAGTCGTCTTGTGGATTATGTATAGTAGGAGAGGAATTATTTCCTCGCTCTTCGTTCACCCGTGGAGATAAGTTTAGATCCGGCCAAACTCTTTCAGCCGGAACCTGTTCGGCTAAAACTGCTCCAGAATAACCACCCGATAGTTGAGGGTTATCCCTGCTTTGCGCAACCTCATTATTGCGAACGTCTTCAACCTTCACGTACATTTCCAACATTTTTATCAAAATAAGTTCCCGGTTTTCATCCGGAGTCCTTAAAAAATCTCTCAGAGTTTCATTATCCTCGATGTAAAACTCAGCGTAACAAGCAACCCCTTGCGGAGTCATAAAATACGGATATCTTCCGGTTATTTTAAGATTCATCGAACGTTTGCTCAACCTCATTTTATTGCATAACAACGATACCTGTCTATCTTTACTCCATTGTAAGTGGAAACTTAACATGACTCTCTGGAGATAAACTATAGCTCACTGAGTTATTCGCCACCACAACCTCATCCCCCCCCCCCCTCCCAATATAATGAAACCCTTACTTTTCGCTCTTCAGACATTATGAAAAAAAAAGCTTGAGAATTTAACAAGAAAAAAATTTATCGAGCGTTTTACATATTTGAATTATTGTTATGTCAGTTAAATACAGAAGAGTTATTGGTGGGCCGACAAAACAGGTAAAACGTATTTAAAAAAGGCGTTTTAATAAAACGCAGTTTTGAAACACGTTTTACCTTAACGTCCCAAACGGACGTGGTTCAAAACTGCGTTTTATATACTTTGGTCACTAAATTTTTTGTCCCACCTATTTATGTATTTTGAGCCCAAAAAAGCAACATTTAGGTTCCGGACTCCAAAATTAAGACCCTTTTTTAAAAAAAAAATTATCTTGTACTATAAATCTTAGGTCAGGGGACAACAAAAACTACTACTTTATAAGGATATTACTAGAATTACTTAATCCGTTTCAGTTTGTATGACACAATTTTATTTCTAATCTGTTCTAAAAAGAATGACATATTTTTACTGCTCTCCTCTTATTCTTCATTGGACGATTCGGATGGACTTCGCCGTTCTTTCCCAACTAAAATCGAAAGGGCTGTATCACATCGAGATGTCGATTCGTTTTCCGCCCCGATGATATGGGGAATTTGTAACTCCCTATTTAGAATTTTGGGCCCTTCATCTTTCTGAATCGAGATCCGGCCCGGCCCGGCTCGCGTCGTTCCAACAACCGGCGGGGAGCACCTCAGTTTACGATCGCGCGCAGTTACTAGGAGTCCTATTACACTTAAGGCCAACTTCAATTCACCAAACCAAGGTTCATCTCGTATAGTCATTGTGGACTCGTACAAGGATATTGAGTAGATGGTTGATGTATCAGACTCGACCCTATCTTTCGTAGCATTCCCATCCGTGTCGCAATGCTTCATTTGAGCCGTCGTCGCTTAATGCATGTAGGGAGGCTGGGGCTTTCCCCCACGACCCCTTTTAAAGGAGAACCAGAAAGAACAACAATGAACTCAAAGCTAATGTTAACATGTTTTGATACCACAAATTTCAAAAGCAGAGATGCTACGACATGTTTTAATCACAAATTTCAAACATCTTTATTTATTTTGTTAAATTCTGATTCAAACTACATCGCATAAATTAAATTAGAATGAAGGGAGTAATTTAGAACATCTCAACTATTTCACTAATATTTACTACTTCCACAACATAATACCGAGTAACTCTGGATAGGCAAAGAGAAAAAGATAAAATTTTTGCTTTCGAAATTTGAATCGTAATCTCTCATAATTTTCGTCTCACTTTGTTGAACACTAAGCAATTGACCATTAGGCCACTCAATCACACGGTGCAAACAAAAAAATTACTATTATTGTCACCAGCACTGAAATACATTACATTTAATTTATTACATACAGATTGTCATAGTTTATGTACCAAAAGGGCCCCAATTTCCACTAACAAAACAGAGAGTCCCCACCATACAAGTGCTTCTACATCCACCACTATATCCTCTAGTCCCACCATTCATTTCTTTTACTCAACAAAACACATCACATGAGCAGAACTTTGACAATTTCTCTTCTTCTGCTTGAATTATATATCATATCAATGACAGAAAAAAGGTTACTTTATACATAACATTGAACCCTGTCTTTCAACAAAGGTAAATAGTACTTAATAAGTAAAAATAGGAACCATAGCTGTGGGACCATCAACTCCCAGAGAAAATTCTCAGGGCCATTAGCACGTTGTCACCTTTCTAATGAGGGGTTTTTTCTTTTTTTTTAAATAACCGTGACGTCCGAGCCAGCTTTCTAATAAGGGTCTCTAAGAAGGAGGATTAGTTTCTGGCTTAATAAGACTTGATGTATCTGGTGGTTGAGAGTGGTAAATTGCTGATGCAAGAGAAATAGGCATAATACAGAGTGCCTTAGACTGAAGAAATTGCATTGCAGAACCAACATTTTCTTCCATAAGTTTGGCCACTTGCCTTTCTGTACCATCACTTGACCACTTTTCCCAGGCTGGTTGGTTATTTCCACCTTCACTGCTCTCTTCCTAAATAAGACAAGCCACAAAAAAAGGATATAAAAAAAGTATTTTAAGTGATAGGGTGGACAATTCAGAACAAAAAGAAGTCTAATCAGTTTATTATAATTAAATAAAAAGAACCTCTACTGATGATATTGGAATGTCTGTAACAAGTGGTGCCACTGCACCAGCTCCTCCCAACCTACTCATACTCAACACCTGTAGCATCATATATTATTTTATAACTTAAGAAAAAGTACCAAGAAGCTCAATAATGCAAAAAAAGTACTGATTCAAAAGGAGGAGAAAACAAAAGGAAGAAATCTAGTGCTAACCCCTCAAAAGAGGAAAGGTAACTTTGAGTGGAGATCCTTTATGGCATCTCATTTCACTATTTTTTTCCAAGTAAATTATCAGATAGGTTTCTACCCGCTAAACTTCCTTTCAACACCATACTTAAAGGGAAGCTGTTCACTAACCAATATTTAAACATATAGACATCAAATTCAACCAAGTATAATTTGGCACTGCAGACAACAAACTGGGCTGTAGGATCGCCGTGAGGTAAATGCTACACACAAGAATGACATGGGAACATTTCTTGAAACGAAAATCCACTGAAAAGGGCAATGCAAAAACATAGATCTAAAGTACTATGCTCTACAGAAGGAAATTTAAGGCAAAGTGAACGAATATTACGTAGAGAGAATTATAGTTTAAGAAATTATATGCAGAAATTCTAAGCATGCCAAGATTCTAGTTTCTGCACCTTGGGAGTGCTACATTCACGACATATTTGCTAAATTTAATACTAGTCATGTGGAGCTTGTGAATATTTATTGGTAATACCAACATGCATTTCTGAAGTAGTTTCTCAACCCAAATTAACATCAATAGATTCAAAATGTTTAGACTGATCCCTGACTGAAACTTTTGAAAAGACTTTGGTTTAACGTACCTTCACTTGCAGGCGTAGGAACTTGACATAATCTACAATTTCATCAAGCATTACGGCTCTATCAGTCTGCAAGACCAACAGAAAAAGGAAATAACAGTTGATGAATACTGACATACCAAACTTAACAGAATGTTAAAATCACAGTAACCATAACATGCCAAATATAGTTAATTTGTGCTGACAATCTCTGATGGAAATGTGGGAGTTAATATAGTTAATGAAAATGATGCAGTATTGATTTTACTTATTGATAGACTTCTTTTCTGTGACATCTGTTGGCAACTTTGAAACACAGGTCACTTTCGTTGAGCATGCAACAGTTTAAGACTTCACCAACTTTGCACATTTTCAGCATTTGGAAGTTGTTGTAATCTTCGTAAATGAGCATCAACTGCTTAATATAACATGTCTTACTATACTGAAATATCCAAATGTATGCCTTCTAATAGTAACTATCGAGCTAAAAATGGAGACCAGAAACAACATCATGCAGTATCCTCATAATCTACGGAATTAGGGAAGGAAATAACGGGACATGAAGTTACCTAACAAATCAATTTCATGTTTTTACACTCTTCCCGCAAATTAAAAGACACACAAGAATAGTGGAAAACTGTACAAACGGGAAAGTTATATCCATGTGCCGCTACTATTTAGGAACAGAAGAGTTCTTTAGTTCTTCATTTTATAAGTCCCTATTGATTCTCTATCAATAAAAGCATCATAACTTGAACAGATCCAAAAAAGTTGGGAGTTGCCAGTGCTACTAATTTTATCAAATATTGTTCCATCATTTCTGAACCCTGCGCATATGCATAAAGCCCACAAATGAAAACGGTGACAAGAAAGATGTTTTACCCTCTTCCTTTATGTCTTTTCAAAAGGATGTTCACAGTAAGTGAAATTGGGTTCACTATGTAAAAGAAAGAAAACTGACCTTATTGACACTGGGAACCAACTCTTGCAATGCTCTAATTCTTTCTGCTATCCTCTCTCTACGTAACTGCGTTTAAAAAATATAATCTGTTAGAATAGTAAAGTAACAGCAATTGAAGGCTAGGAAACAGGCCTATATACATAGTATTGAGCCTTACACCAGTGCTTGGAAATAGGATTTTTACTTCCTAGCATAGAACTGAATTCTACAACAACACATTCTTGGCAACTTACTATCATTGGGCTTAGGGACTGGCCACTTCAGAACATCTCATGCTTGTAGAGACAATGAACAAAGTAAAATTTTCTTATCAATATACAGAATATAACATGACTTAGTTAGAAGATCTCCCTTGAAAAATAACCTTTCATGCTGAGGAGCTTAATTGAACCTGATTCATCTATAGTGAAAAGTTGCAGCCATAAAAAAACCAAAAAGTGGAGATGATTTTCTTTGGTCCAAACATTAGAAGCAACAAAAACATATGACCCTCGTAAAATAATTTGCTTAATTTTGGAGTACTCTACACATTATCTATACAAGAGACCACAATTGCTGTAAGAAAACCATACCCTCTCTGCAATGCTGTGTGGATCAGTAGCTTGTCCTCGCCTTGCTCTTACCCTTGGACGTATTGCTGGGGGATGTGGCATTGAAGGCATCGGTTGGCCATGAAAACCCTGTAAATATTGAACCTTGCCATATTACTCGTGATAATATCTAGGGAAAACGATTGATAAAATCACTCAGTAGAAGGCCAAATTCCTTCTTATTTAGAACTCGGACTATGGTTTAATCATCTTGTAACGGCAAAAAGTATCTTTACATATCTAGCCCCTTTCTCTAGGTGTGTTTGAAATTCCACTTTTCTATATATAGCAATGCTAATCTCAAGATAAATTATCCTATGTGACCTCTAGCTTGAATACAAAAAATATAACCCTCCTTTTCAAAATACCTGATTCGTTACTCCAAATTATACACGGCTAAAGGCACCCAAGTCCAGAAAAGGGAAAACAAAAGTAAGAATTTTGAACTTTCCACTTACCAACCAAATACATAAACCTTTGAGTTTAAGTTTTGTGCATATTGATTGTTTACACTATAGATTAAGTTAGACCTATTACAACATGTAAATCTTCAGAGCAAGCTTGGTATGTTGATTAGAGTAATAACCTGCAATATTACAGGTAAATTATACTGACAGTCCAAAAAAAAAAAAAAAAATACTACGCACTACCACAGTACATAACTTAAATCCTGAACTTTTCCCATCTGTATTTTTTATTCCCAAAAATAACGTGGAGCTAACAAATGCCAGTTTTAAACGAGAAATAAATTCAGAAAAATTAGGAAAACAACAAAAAGCATAAAGGTAAAAACTTTCTAGCAGAACACTCTACACCAACTTGCTAAAAAAAGTTCCAAGAAAAAAAAAACAGATTATCACAGTAAAGTTAGTCATTTTTCTCAAAGGCAACCAAGAACAAAGCAAGAAGCTAAAAACCAAAAACCAAAAAAAAAGATATACTAAGTAACAGTTTGAAACTTCTAGTCTTAAATATGTCAGCTATAAGTGCTTGTGATCAAAGATAAAATAAAAAAATTAAAGTTAAATCGTTTCCAAATTTAGAAGTTTTTTATGAGATTAAAAAGGATTAGAGCCTGAAGTAGAAGGAGTAATAGTTACAGGTTTGACAGAAGAAGAAGCTCTGCTATCAACAACATCATCTCTAAATCTCCTTCCAGGTACTGCTGAAACATCATCCATCTTCATAAATCCACTTTTCCCTCCCTCTAAACTCAACCCCAATGGAAAAGAACCCGACTGAGATGGATGATGGAACCCACCACCACCACCTAGTCCAACACCAAGACCCATTCCGGAAAACTGACCCGACGCATCGCCGGAGTTTAGCTGCAGCATCATCGCCGGCGGAATTGCTCCGGCATCATTTCCCGCCAAATTGGTTTCTGCTCCGTTATAAGCTGGGAATCCCAAGATTTGGTCAAAGAAATCATCAGGACCCTCTGATGGATTGTTAGCCATAGCTGTAACAGATTTTTTTTTTTTTCTCGACCACCTTAATTTCTCAGAAAAGCAATTAGTAGTAAGTGTTTTTTTAACATGTGTAATATTAGATGTAGAAACTAGTACTTAGTACTACTCACAAGTGTACTTGTGTACATATATAGGAAAAGAAATGGAAGTGTGTGTTTTGAATGTTTCTGTGTGTGCTTTGTTTGGTTGCTGCTACTTTCTATAGAACAGTGAGAGCGATGAATGGTGTCACCAAAAGCTTTGGTTAATAAATATATAGGCCAATAGTGTTACCAAATAAAAGCAATTGTTTAAATATTTCTCTTTTTGTTAAAAAAAACTTTGCTTAAATGTAGACTTTATTATTTTACGTTTAAATTTAGTACTATTGCTCAAGTGGGACTAAAAAGTTTCTCCTTTTTTAGTTTTCACTATTTGAAATCAGAAAAGTCGTTCTTTGGTACATTAAAAATTAATACATATAACTTTTGCAAAAAGATGACTAGAATAACTATGGATAATTTTTTTTTCTGGTAGAAAGTATTTTTCAATACCTTGGGACCAAAATTAAAAAATATGAATAAACTAGGAAATGATTGAAATAGCCAAAAAGAGTAAGAAGGAAGTATGTTTCCAATCGTAAATCACGGAAGTCGGCAGATAAGCGAGAACATTATTAGGAATAAATAGAAAAAAAAAATTGGAAAATCTTAATTGACTTATTACTAGTAGAATTTTGAGTTTTTCAAGTAGAAGCAAACAGCTGCTTATGGCAAAAATGACAAATCTGAGAAAGTGGTTATAAAGTTGGACATAAACTAGTATTTTGATGGAATTTGGCCTTACTTGTTTGTCCGAGCATTTCCACTTTAACTAAACCTCTACTTTAATTTATCTAATAGATTAGTGTTGTAAACTAACTGATTATATAACATCTTTCAAACTCTAATTATTAAAACTTGACAAGCTCTGCAACTCTTTACCAAATCACATGTGAGTTACTCTACTATTATACAATCACTCATATCTTAGCCACACAATCTTTCAAGTGGTGTGTGTATTTTTGTTTTGGTCCAGTGATGTGGTATATATTCATCCATACGTCAAATTATTACGTATTTATTTTACTGATCCCTGTCCCTCTAATTTTCACCCCAATGTTATATAGCTACTCATACTATTAAGTTATTGATAGTTTATAAATTTATGCATAATAATTAATTACCCTTGATTTTTAACATCGTGTAAACTCAACTTGGATTATTGGTATCTAGCATCTCGTACCAGAGAATCTAAGTTCTACTAAGAACAACATTTCTGCTTTCTGTAATTTAATATCTTTCTAATCATTATATTTATGTCGAATCAATAAGTTCTTCTTTTAGAGAATATGTGCTTCCTCGATTGTATAAAAGAGCCTTCAATAATTTTATTCAACAAACTTATTCTGTTAAAAAAAAAAAGTCTCTTTATCAAGAAGCCTCAGACAATGCCCACAAGGATCATGCAATGGAGAAAATGAACATCATTGTTTAATCCACAGAAAAAAACTTACTTGCACCCAATGTCTTCCATCAAAGGTAACAATATCATAGAGAAGAAAACTAAAATGGTTACAAGAACAAGAAGGGTGATATAAGTGCTCTCTCAAATCCTGTGACACCTAAATATATGTGGTGGCTAAAGTTGCCAGGTGAAATTCTCTGACTACATCTTTTAATTGTTTTAAAAAGTTACACAAGTGTTACAGATAAAGTTAATGAATGATAAAAGATACAAATATTTCCAACTTTTACAACAAAGCTCAAGACCTGTTTAGATCTTCTTCTGGTTCCCACTCCATGTTGAACCGAAGGGTATACTGAGATCCATATTATAAACCCAGCGTGCTTTTGACATAAAAACATAAAGCTCGCGAAGCTTTGCAATAGACATGATATTGCCATTTGACTATTCTGTTCTATGCTGGTCTTTAGGATTGCTGTACACGGGTAACAACCACCTGGGGCCATGTTTCCTTCTCCCATAACATCGCCAATAAATCACAAAGATTACAACAATTACACACATTGGGATTGCCCACCTGCAGCAGCAAAAAGATAGAAAAGGAAATATTATAAAACATCCTTGGTCCAGGTCATGTCAGCTCACACTAGTTCACATCAAACTACGGAAAATTCTTTCACAGTTAGACCGTTGAAAAAGAGGGACCTAACCAATACTACCCAGTATCATATGTGCTGATACGTAACCATTACAATATCAAACCCATTATCAAAAAGGATTTTAAAATAAAGCAACTTTGCTACAAAAAGTTAGTCAGGAGAAGCATGTATAATGGCTGCTATAAACAATCTTGTACTGATTCTACTGATCACAGAAAAAGAGAGGAAAAAGAGCAACCCTCTTTTGTACTGTTTTATTTACTAAATAGTAACGATGCTAAAACACCAAAGAGATTCACAAAGGACACCTAAAAGCAACACAATTTCAGAATGAAAAGGTAATATTTTCAGTACCTGTCCAGATCAAGGATTGGACTATACACAAGTGTTTCCCAAGTAGCTACAATAAAATGCCACGCTGGATTGTAGTAAAGTGACTCTGCAGACCAAAACATCCTTGTATATGTTTCTAAGAAGATAAAGAGAATCCATGCGCCAATCTCAACCAGAAAAAACTTTATGATGAATCGTCCAACCACCACCATGACCAGTGAAAAAGCCACCAACCAATTAAAGAGTCTGTTATTATAGTCCTTAATAAATAACGACTTTGACTTCTCCAACATCTGCATAATTGTAGATATACACAATTCAATTATAGGCCATATGAAATGGACAAAGGGAAGAAAGAACAACGAGAATAGAAGTTGTAGTACTCACAAACAAATTATGAATAAGCATGTATAAACAAGACATAGACGGGCTAAATGGGTAAATTTGGAGACCAAGACTAATGCTGCTTAGTTCAATAGATAAATTAATCATCTGGGACTCTTGCTTATACATAAGACAGGTAAAGGAACTTTCCGTTGTTATCACTTGCATTGTCTTAGTAATAGCACAGGCAAAATCAGTTTCAGGGGGTTTATGTGCACATAAATTAATACAGGGAGGAGGCGGGAGAGGCAGAACTCATGCTTCTTAATTTCAACAATGAACTCACAGAGAGACCTAATAATTTTAGAAGCCACCTCCAACTAAATTGATTCCAAAAGCTCTACAAGTATTCAGACCAAGTGTCGACTCTTTCTATTCTTTTCTTCTCTTATAACTGGAAGGAGGATGTAGTCTAGTACTATTAACTAGTCCAGAGAGAATATTGAAAGAGGGGAGCAGGCAAACGATATCATACAAGAACATAGGTGACAAATAATTCCATATTTACTAGTGGCTGTGCAACTGATGAAGTTCAAAGTAAGATGCAAAAGCAACAAGATTTCCATCGTCTTTCATTTGGATAGTGAGTAGTTTTTATAGTCAAGTCAATAATAATAGAACAGGAGGAGTGACAGCCACTTGACTGTAAGGGAAGTAGCGAAAAGCCAGGATGGCTTGGTAAGAAGGCAATCCGTTATGTGGGCGCCAACAAGTTCCTTCTCTTCTTTCTTTTTTCAAGTCATGATCAGAATGATGACATTCTTCTTTGCTTTAGAAAGGAGAAGGGAAAAGGCCAATTTGCACCACCATCCTTTTATTAGAAAAGGATTTGACTAATCACCAAGGACGAAGGGATGATAAAAAGGAAAATTTCTTTTGTTATTCAGCTAAAAGGATATGAGTATCATTTACTGCAAAGATAATACGGTGTGTTCTGTCATCCAGATTTGTATGGTCAATTATCGGTAAAAAGGTAATTTCTGTCTAGCTTCCTGAATGTTTTTTCTCATCTATTGATCCAGCTTGATGCAATTAACTTCCACATTCACCACAGATGGTAAAGTCTCAAGCCATGGTTCACGTTTTGGGTTCAATTGTATACTGTCCTTTACTAGGGTAGGGGCTTCTTGGTAAAATACGCCATATTTCTTTCTCTTCCGCTCTCTCCCAACACAACTAAATGCAACATTACCATTAAGAGCTGAAGTATACACTCACTATATTGAGAAATATCTTTTTGATAAAAGAGCAACCAAGTGCTAAAAACTAAATGTATTCAACCTTGATCATCCGCTTTTCATAGTTGATTTTAGAAGGTCCGACACATTCACTGTGAAAGCTTTGGTTGCATTGGAGGAAGCCAGCATTGAACTTTGCCATCGTAGGAAGTTTGAGGACCTGAAGATGGTCCATTTTGTCCTCACATCTTGTATACAAAGCCTCACACAGCTTTGAGGATTGATATTCATTCGCCAACAAGATATTCTTATACACCTGCAAAGATGTGGCAGTAAGCAAAAATCTGAGAACTACGTAAAACTATGCTTTATTGCAATCAAGTCAAACCTTTTCAATCTCTTCGTCCAATTTATCAACTGATTTTTTTGCATGGTGACGACCAAAATGCTGTTCATCAAAGAGGTTCATCGCTGCCTCTTTGTGCTCTTCATGAACCTTTTGCAAAGACTCCCCTGGCATTGGTAAAACCATGTTAGCCGTCCGCTCATTGTACAGTTTCAGACACCGCTCCAAAATACCCTTGTTGAAGACTTCCACAAGGGACCCTGTGGATGGAATCTCCCCTTTATTCAATGCTTCAAGAATCTGGAAACAAAATTACCAATTAAGAGCAAAGGTTCAAAAAAACGCCATAAGTATCCAAAAGGTATTACAAATTAGGGTAATTGATGGATAATCACCTGCTCAAGGAAAGATACGAACTCCTTCCCAGTGAGAGATTTACCCTGGACAATTTTTGGACGAATAATAGATGCTACAACTTCTTTTAATTGCTCCCTCTTCTTGACATAAAGAGGATCAAGCTCAGCATCCTTCATGTCACAAAGCTTTGTGCGCTGAAGATGGGGCTGTTAAAGAAATATGTGCGTTATTATATCTGATTGTATCATTCTGGAAGTTCTTATAGAAAATGCTCAACTCTAAAAGCATACCAAGTTTGCTATATTACCTCAGCATGCAAGTTTACTATCCATAATACAAATGCAACTACATAACCAAAAAATTCTTTTTCTTCATTTTCTGGGAGGAGAGAGTAAGATGGTTTTTCGAGGTAGGAGATGAAGAGGGCATACAAAAGGAATAAAGCTATAGTTTAGCCACCATACCTACATATACGGACATTCAATGACCTTTCACATATAAGTTTTAATTGGTTCCCACTTCCCTTACAGGAAGAAAAAAGAAAAGAAAAAGAA